GGATCCTGGGCGGGCGGGCGCGTGGGGTCCTGGGCGGGCGGGCGCGTGGGGACCCGGGCGAGCGCGAGCTGAGCCGGATGTCAAGGAGGCCCAGCGCCGCCTGCCCTGCACGGTTCCAGATTCTGGCCCGCTCTGCTCCGCTGGGTCTGTCCAGGGCCCAGCGGGAGGCCTTGTGTGGAAAGAGGGGCCTTCCAAGTAAACAAAGACTTGGTAAGAAATTAAATCAGCATTTCACTTAAAAATATTTATGGCCTCGGCATTGCCGGTGCGGGTATCGCAGTGTTATCGGTGGGCACTTAGCCGGCGCTTCTGCAGGGTCATCTCCATAAGGGAGACTCACCTCTGCTCCCGGATCTGATGCCAGGTGTTGGTCTGCACCAGCGCTGCGCTGGAACCTCTCCTGGCTGCACTTTCTTTGGAAACTGGAAAAAAAAAATGTGGTGTAAGACATTGTGAGTCACATTAAGATAGAGTGCTACGCTGGAGGTTGCGCTCTAGTTACACGAAGCGTCAGGAATATGACTAAGTTCATTTCCTACTTTTAAAAAATGGGGCTGGAGAGGTTGCTCAGTGGTTAAGAGCACTGGGTGCTCTTGCAGAGGACCAGGGATCAATTCCCAGCACCCATATGGCGGCTAACAACCATCCGTAACTCCAGTTCCAGGGGATCTGACGCCTTCATGTGACCTCCATGAGCATTGCACAACTATGTGCAGGCAATACACTCATACAGATAGAATAAAAATAGTAAATAAAATATTTTAAAAAGAAATTTAAGGCATTGTGCTATGTACAGCTTTGGAGTCAAATATTTTCCATTTAACATTATGTAATACCAGTTTTCCATCTTATAACTACCATTAGATTTTGAGCACATTAGCTACCCCTTGGTGTGTCTGTTTCCTCATTTGCAGCAATGGGGATAATCATAATACTTGGTAGGATGGCTGAGAAGGATAAGTGACAGTAAATATGCACAGCTTACAGGGTTTTCAGCATGATAAAGATCAAATAAATATTACCACTCATCGTATACAAAGCGAACAATATTGTCCTGGAAGGTGCCCCCCCCATAATTAATGAAATCTCCATAATATTACTTCCAAGAAGTTTTTGAAATTTTTGAACTAGAGTACTAGAGCTCGATCATTGTTATAAAAGAATGTATTCATAAACATGCAGCTCTTTTCAGTTAATAAGCAGCTTTTCTAAATATGGCCATGCCCTTCCAAGTTTAAATACATTTTAAACTATATTACTTTAATATATTCTAAATATATATTAAGGCATTTATTACTTAGAGTAATTTGCTGCATATTACCTCATTTTCTTCCTATTATGTCCAGATCACTTTGAATAAAAAGGTAGATGTGTTTTTAGTGTACAGAACAATATATCTATATATGTATATCTAAAGTCTGTATATAAGAGAAAACATGCACTATTTATCTTTCTTTTTTCTCGTTTAACATGATCTACCTTTCCATCCATTTTCCTGAAAATGACATAATACCATCCTTCCATCCCATTCTCTAAGGTAGAAAAGCTTTTGTAGTGAAGAGAAAGAGGAAAAAGGGGACTTGAAGTAGATGAGAGGGCCAGGAAGGAGGAGCTATTGATTTGAGTTGAGGATTCAGAGGTAAAATCAGTCAGGTTCTAGCTGCTCACTACCTTTGCTCTAGAGCCTTGACAGCAGCTTCATAGCTTCATAGCTTCATAGCTTGAGCCTTGACCTAGTTTACTTGTGCCTGTCTGTTCTAGGAGCCAGAAGAGAAGCAAAGAACCATCAGTTAACCATACCAAGTCAAACACTTGAGAATTAAGCTGAGAGAAGCCAGCACTCATAGAGGATACGGCCTAAGCCAGGCCTTCTTAAGCTTTTTCTGATCCTGACTGTTTTTCACAGAAAATTTTACATGACCCCAGGTATATAGGTATATAAAATAGGTATAAAAATCAAACATTTACTGGTAATAAATTATAAAGAAATAAATTTTATTTATATATTATTAGCTTTTGCTAAAGATGAAATCAAATTCTCATACTAACAAAATGTGCTTGTTTCTCGTGTGTGTGTGTGTGTGTATGCATGTAGTTATGCACAGATGTTAGCTGCCATGTGGGTACTGGGATTTGATCTAGGTCTTCTGCAAGAACAACCAGTGTTCTTAACCACTGAGCCATCTCTCCAGCCCCTATATTTTGATTTTATGTGTATTGCCTGCATGTATGCAAGTGCACCCATGTTATTCAATACTTGAAGAGGTCAGAAGAGGTCGTTGGAGCCCCTAGATTTGGAGTTACAGACAGCTATTAGCTGCCAACTGGGTTCTGGGAACTGAACCCGAGTTCTCTGCAAAAGCAGCCAGTGCTCTTAACTACTGAGCCATCTCTCCAGTCCCAAGAAATGTATCTTAAAACAATTCTTTGGTATACATTTTATTTTACTACTTATTAAAGCTGAAAGCAAATTTGCATACTAATGAGATGGGTGTGCTTGTTTATTTGGCTGAATATTTGGTACTGCAGGATGTAGAACATCTTCAGTTTTTTTCAGAGTTGGTTGGTATTTTGATTTTATAATCAGTTCTGAGAACGCCACTTTGTAAAGACACAGTAGTGCATGGCCAAAGTATGTTTAAGACCATTTTAGAAATTATTGGGAATTCTGGCCTGATCCCAAGTCAGAATTCATTTAATTATTTTTTAAATGTTGGCAACTTAAACAGCAGTTTTAAAAATCAAGGATTTTTTTTAAATCAAGGATCTTAACAAAATATAATCCAAACACAGACTAATTTAGTAGTTATATGCTGAAGAATGACGATAGGAAAATACAAAAAGTCTTTGCTTTCTATAATTAAACCATTATGTTTCTTTAAGAACAGTTTATAACATGCAATAATAGTATCAAATCTGAGTGAAGGTATTTCAGACAGTGTTCACTGGCATTGTATCCTATGACAGCATGGCACACAAAGTCTACATATTGTGTGTTTAGTCAGGACTGTAGTACTTGGTCATAGTGATGGAAAGCTGACTGACGAAACAACTTGCCCATCATACAGTTGTTTCTCTTCCCTCCACCTTCCTGCCAGTGTTTGACAGAACCCAGGATCCTTTCAGTCTCTCTTTCTGTATACATATTTAGAGTAGTAATTTTCTTCTAACTACTTTTAAATATTTTATTTATTATTTTTATTTTATGTGTATAAGTGCATTGCCTGCATGTAGGTAAGTGCACCTGTGAAGTGCAATGCCTGAGGAGGACAGAAGAGGCCATCGGATCCCCTAGAACTGGAGTTACAGACAGTTGTTAGCTGCCATATGGGTGCTGGGATTCGAATCTGGGTCTTCTGCAAGAACAACCAGTGTTCTTAACTGCTGAGTCATCTCTCCAGCCCCTCAGTCTATATTTTAATAGCTCTTAAAACACTTAGGACCTCATCATACAAAAAGAAGGTTTAAATTTGGTTAGCTTTTTTAAATTGCAAGAATAACGTAAGTGACCAAACATGGAAATACTGTTTTCTAACTTTTAGTATGATGTTTAGAAAAGTGTTCTGGAGATATGGCTCAGTGGTAGAACACTTGCCTAGCATTTACAGGATCCTGGGTATTACCCTCAGCATCATAAAGAGGAAAAAATAAGGTAGCTTCGTCTATGGTGTGAGATTCCAACTTTATTTTCCTCCACATTACTTCAAGAATGTCTTGTCTTCTCCATCTGTGAATCATTATTTTTATCATTTTATGTTTACAGAACTGTGGCTCTATGTTTTGATGTCTGACCCTTCAAGTTCTCTCATTAATCTTTTCAGTATTCATATCTATTCTTGATTGAAAGACTTCCAGGTTAATTTTAGGAGATCTCTGTCGAGTTTTTTAAAAATTGCAGCTACTATATGAGTCTTTCAAATTTATAAACTGTCACTATGATTGTGTCAAACATAAATTAAATTGGGACAAATTAATAAGCCTTCACATCCAGATACATGGTTTGCTTTTCCAGGAGATGGTGAATGTAGAGAGAGGAAGCAAAAGAAAGCTTGAATTGGTTCCTGAGGAACTTTGAGTTGCTTCTTAAATTTGCATAATGACAAATTATAGCTGGGGCTGCGGGAGTTTAGTAGGAAGTTAAAAGAGAAAGGTCAAACTTTGGGGTAAATAACCTCCTTGAAGCAGTTTAAAGGAAGTTTCTCTTCCTCCCAAATCTGTTGTTCCAGATCTCCTCAACATTTAGTCTTGGAGTTTGAGTCTTTTTTTGCTTTGACCTCAAAATGTATAAGCTCAGTTACATAGTCAGGTTCTCTCTGGGGATGAAGAGCCTTTCTATAACTCAAGAGACCAAAATTCTAGGCCTGACTTAGGCACCTGTTAGATTGGTGATTCAGGCTTGGGCATGTGGTCTTCTGGGCCTTAGTTTCTGCACCTAGAAAAAGGAGCTTAGAAGAGCTTACCTTACAGCTTCTAAAATGGGGTTCCAGCTAGGGGTCACATAATACAATGTTGGTGTCACAAAACTTTTGGCAACATTAAATGGTTTCCAAACATAATAACCAAAGGTTAATGCAAACTCAAATACATAACAAGTGCCAGGTGTTTCTGGCAACACTTGGCAGTATTGGGCCAGAAATTGTTTGTGTTTAATAACTGCCCATCATAGAGTTGGCACTCACCTGGCATTCATCAAGAATGTCAGCAGTCTGTTCTCCACACTTTGACCAATAGAGTTTGGCAAACATTTTGCTTCATCAGTCTGAAAAAGCATCTTGAAGTCTTAATTTATGTTCTGTGATCATAAATGAGGTCAGGTAACATTTATATATATATACATATAAATATAAATACATATATTTAATTTAGTTTTTTTCATAGTCTGTCTTTTAGGGTTTCTCTTTCTAGTGAGATCTCCTTTTTATAATTGTGAGGAGATAGGAAAAGGCTCTAGCTGAAGGCCACAAAAGAGTAGATAGCGTGTGTCCTGAGGAGATAGGAGGGAGTTGTCAGCCCAGGCCTGCTTCCCAAGGAAGTTCTCCCAGAGTAAAGCTTCTCTTTTTATAGGAGGTGTTAGTTCACCATTACTCATGATTATTATCACAATACTTATCCCCAAAGAATCAGATCACAGGGCTGGGCAGGCTGGGGTCAAGGATGGGAACGCCTTAGCCTTCCCTTTTCAGATGCCGCAGATTCCCCCTTTCCCTCTTCACCCTCCTGGCCACACACACAGGCAGGACATGGAGAGGTTTCTACTTCTGTCTCCATCACCTTTGGTTATCCAGCTGCCCCGTCCTTTTCTGCCTAGTTAATCTGTGCGGGACTGTCCTCCTATTCCTAGTGTTTCCCCAAGGATGGCTCCTGATCACTGGTACGTGATCTCCTAAGATGCCCGATCAAAATTCAGGTGTTTAGCTTCCGTCTTTCCTAGGCATTCTGTATAAGGATGTGGAGTCCAGAAACACACTTTTAACAAGTCAGCAGGGGTCTATTGAAGTTTGGTACTGCTATTGTGTCACAATGTCTCTCTTTTTTTTTTTTCCTCCTGTTTCTTCTTCCTTCATGCCTGTGACTCCTGCTCACCTATTTGGTCCCTCCTTCCTTCACCTTAATGCTAAGTGTCCAAGAAAGACTGCTAAATAGCCCTTTTTCATTAGTCCTTTTGCATTCAAATCCTGTGGAAACTCAGCTAGGAGGGGGAAGGTATATATATTTCTTATTGTTTGCTTATCTCTAAAAAGAAAGCTAGATAAAAAGCTGTCCTCTCCAAGCCTTCAACATTGGGAACTGCATCATTTCCACAGAGGCATCGTGTTTTTAGCTACTTGTCCAGGATAGGAGATAGACCCTGGAGATTGGGGTGATGTCCTAAGGAAGTTGACCACCACCAGCCCTAGAGAAAAAGATACCAGGCTGTGTACCATTACTGGAGGGTGTTAGGTGACGGCATCTGGGGGAGATGAGACTCATGATACAGAAGAGGTAGGGAGAAATGGGGTCACATGCCACATGGAAAGTTTGTGCCAGTGCCATCAGGGCCCTGAACCTCTGCTTTCTGTCTTCTCAGGTGCTGAAGGAAGAGATCGAGATGAATGCTGAGGTGAGTTCTGTGCAAAGAGCACTTAAGGCATGCTTTTGTTGTAATGTGCCTTATTTCTCTTAAAGGTGATCCTTTCCCTCTCAAGATTTTCCAAAAACATTAGCCCAATCAAAACTCTTTCCCCTGGGCTACCTATTTGTACATGGCTGTGAAGGATAGAGGAATTAGTTCCCTCTGAGTTTTTGTCTGTGCCCCCTGCGGGTCACTGTGCTGGTGCGTGTCTCTCTTTCAATTTCTAGCCATGAAATGAGTGGTTTTGCTCTGCCCTGTGCTCCTAGCCTGGAGTGCTATCCCCATAGGCCCATGCAAGAGCCAGTAGTTAAGGATGCTTCTTCCCAGTGTCCTTTATTTCTCATACTCAGGATATTTTTTCCCCTTTCAAAGTGTTCAGAAACATTAGCTCAAACATGAAAACATTTCTCCTCCAGGCTGCCAGTGTCCATGTGGTTCTAGGAGATAGAGGAAATATTGGGCCCTTATCTGTGTCCACCTACCCTCAGTCAGATCCAAACTTACTAGAGCTCATTCTGAAATTTAGGAGCTGATGGTAGCAGTGGGGCTGAGGATGCTGAGGGCATATCCTTGCTGTGTATTATTCTGGGGTCACTTATTTGTTATTAAGGTGTTTTCACTTCTTGTTCTTTGAGCCAAGAAGGTGACTATACACCATCCCATTTTCTTTTTAACTCAAATGTCCCTTCTACTTTAATTCCCTCTCAAGTCCTGCATGGATTTTGGAGTTCATTACTTCAGCGGCTTTTGTGCTAATAGCCCCAATTCCTTTCTCCTTTGACCTGTGTATCTGACATGGCAGACCCAGAGACTGCCCTTATGGGATGGTCATTTGGATGCCACAGGTTTGTGCTATTTATAGTTAGAAGATGTCTCAAACTCTTACCCCAGGGCTCTGCACTGTACGCATCAGTAGGCAGCTTGCTTTCCTGTTGGTGCCACAGGTTTGTGCTATTTATAGTTAGAAGATGTCTACCCCAGGGCTCTGCACTGTACGCATCAGTAGGCAGCTTGCTTTCCTGTTGTCCTAGATAAGCAGGCCTGTTTGCCATCATTCTCCCAATGCTCTGCACACCTCCCAGCTCCCTCCTCACTCAGCATCTGCATCACTTTCTGTTTTGCAGAGAAAAATGTAAAAATTGCATCTGGCATTTTCTTCCTGGGTTCTTGCCCCTCCCTGTATCTAATTCTGTGTGACAAAGGAATGGACCTTGATGGTGAGAGAGACGGTGGGTACCTGAAATTCCACCTAATGTGGCTTTCTTCCTACAAGTCTAGATGAAAGCCTGCCTTTAGGGTTGAGTGATCCAGTGGTTTAGTGCTTTCATCAAGACTTCAGGATCTCTTCACCCCTGTGCTCTCTACCTGTATTGACTCTACCCTTTGTGACTTTGAGACAAATGCCATCTAGTTGTGGCTTCACACTGTCTTGTTGCCTTTTACAAAGAGACTGTAGCTTGCTGTAGATCCTGCAGAAGAATAGCAACCTCTTTTTTGAAGCCCCAGTGAATGCCCCTTTACATCTTATTGGTCAGATGAGGTCACGTGCCCATTTCTGGACCAAGCTCTGTGTTTAAGCAGCAGTAGTTTTGCTGGCTGACTTTGACTAGACAGGCCCAAACTAGAACAGTTTACCCTCCATCTGTAAGCTGGATATAAGAAGAAAAAGGAAATAGATGCTGGGTAGGACCCATCAACATCAGGAGCAAAAGATTTCTGGTGAAGGTGTGCCCTCCCTCACCCTCGGAATTTGCGCTCTTGCTTGTATAGATTTGTGCTGCCTCCTTAATTACATCTCATATCTGTCGCAGTCACTCACTTCCACTAGCTCTGTCTCATCAGTATTCAAAAGATGCTTCATTTTCGCTTTCTTCAGAACCAAGCACCCCATCTTCCCAAGCAGCTTTTGTCTTGACCTTCTCATCGTCTTCAGCTGGGCGTCTCCACGAGCCGCCTACCATTTCCTCCATTCGTTCTCATGTTCTCCGTCTCCCTCTTCTGCTGAGTCAGGGTCTTCAATCCCAGGCTGACTTCAAATTCACTATGTAGCTGAAGATAGTCCTTAACTCCTGATCCTTCTGCCTTTGCATCGTGCGTGCTCGGATTACAGTTTATGCGCTACATCTTTTTCCTGACCTTTTCTGAAACTACTGCAGTTTGGCTTCTTTTCCTACCATTGTACTGAAGTTGTTCTACTCAGGGTCACAGATGATAAAAATTTACATTTGTAATAATGTAAATATAAGCTCACAGTATAGAATTCAGAAACTATGCAGTCAAGAAGTCTCCCTGCTCCGTCATGCTGCCAGCCCTCCCTGCAGGGAGCTGCCTGAAATGGACCACGTGCTTGTGTCTCTGCCCTCCTAATCTAAAGAACCTGTGGGTCCTGCTGGGGCACACTCTAATGCTCAGAAACTCTGCATTAATATTGAGGTTATAAACCTGGCTCAGTAACAGTTCTGACAATCATCAGTTATCTGTGTGTTATTTCAACCTCTTCATTTTTTTTTCCTTTTAACCTTTTGAAAAAGCTCCCAATTTGATTCTTCCTGTGTCACCTTCTTTCTTAAGGACATGTCACTTCATGTCTAGGACCACCTCCTCACTTCCTGTGTTTGCTCTCCCTCTAGTCTGACTTAGTTCTCAATGCACCACATCTCAAGTGAAGCTCAATAGCTCCACGTACTAAATTTGTTGAAATGTTTTTTAGAAGCATTTGATGGCATTGCTGTGTTTTGGATCTTAAACGTCCTCTGATTTGGAGACTTGGTTCCTAAAGTGACTTTATTAGGAGGTGGTGGAACTTTTGACAGTCGGGACCTCATGGGTTTTTAGATCACTGGGAGAGTACTTTTTAATAGTGGGCACCTAGTCTGCCTGTCTCTTTTGGGACAAGGTCTTGCTGTTTAGCACAGGCTAGACTCTCAAACTTGTGATTCTCCTACATCAGCCCAATAGTTGATGAGATTACAGGCTTGTGCTACCACACCTGGCTCTTCCTCTTTCTCTCTTTTGATTCACAACCACGAGGTGAGAAGTTTTGCTCTTCTTCTTGGCACTCCCAGTGTGCAGTGCTACCTTACCTCAGGCCCATGCAACAGTGCCAACTAACTATGGATTAGCACCTCCCAAATAATGAGTCAAACAAGCAAAGGCTTGTTTCTTTTTGTATGTTAATTACCTCAGATATTTACTATAACCACAAAAAGCTAACATAAATTTTGGCCATAGTCTTAAAAAAAAAACAAAACATCCTTAGCCAGGCGTGGTGGTGCTCACCTTTAATCTCAGTACTTGGGAGGCAGAGGCAGGCGGATCTCTGTGAGGTTGAGGCCAACCTGGTCTACATAGTGAGTTCCAGGCCAGCTGGGGCTACAAGCAGACCCTGTCTCAAAAGACCAATAAATAAATAAATGAATAAAACCATCCTTTTTTAAAAAAATTAAATATAATTTTTTAAGCGTATGAATATTGCTTGGGTATAGGTAGGTGCACCCATGTCATGCAATACCCACAGAGGTCAGAAGAGGGTATCTGGAGTTATGGATGGCTATTAGCCACTATGTGGGTGTTGGGAATCAAACAGAGATCCTCTGCAAAATCAATCAGTGCTCTCAACAACTGAGCTATCTCTCCAGCCCTTATTGGCCATATTCTTGAAGTGTTTCCATGATATGCCATTTTGACTCTCTGGTCACTTCTGTTCAGACCCTTTTCTAAGCTCTTGTCCTGGTTTGTCTCTCCGTTGCTGTGACAAAATACTTTGACCAATATCAACTTGGGGATAAAAGGATTCATTTGGCCTACATCTCCCAAGTCACAGTGCATCAGGGAGCCCAAGGTAGGAACTCAGGGCAGGCCCCTACTCAGCCTGCTTTCTTACGACACACAGACCCACCTGCCCAGGGGTGGCACCACCCACAGTGGGCTGGGCCCTCCTACATCACTCAACAATCAAGAAGATGCCCCACAGTAGTGGCCACGGGCCAGCCCTATGGAGGAAATTCCCCAATTGAGGTTCCCTCAACCCAGGTATGTCAAGTTGACACTAAAGCTGTCCAGCACAGCTCTTTTCCTACTCTTTCAGAATCTGTGATTCCCTGGGTACTGCCCATTCTATCCACCGACCAGGAGCCCATCTGCTCCCACAGCTGTCATTATTCAATTTAGGGCAGTCCTAGATTGATCTGTTTAGGCAGGCCTTTCTCCCCCAGAGCAGATCTTTACAGTAATTATTCAGTTGCTCACCTTCATTTCAAGGTCCCACTGGGACTCCAAATTCATTCTAGCCTTAAATGCTGGAAATCCCATTAATCCGGTTTTGACTCTAGACGTGACTTGATGGCCACAATAGTAAAATCAAGTTTAACTATGACACTTCTGCTCACCGACCTTAATAAATAGTAAAGTCAGCATTTCGCACTTCCTTTGTCTCCGTTTTTTGTGCTTTCTCGTCTGCTTCGTCCTTCACATACTCTTTGTTCTCTTGCCTTTTTAGGTAATTCTTTCAAATCTTGGAGGCAGAGGAGGCGACCTGTTCTCCAGTTCTCGGGGTTTCTCGTGTTGTTTTATCCCTTCTTACTCCATTTGTATTCTCACCCTACCAAAGACAGCTGTTTTAATGTATTAAATGTTTTCCTTTCCATTTGCATATGTTCTTGAAAATATGGTTTCAAGCTGTGTAAACACCTTTTAAGTTTACATAGTCACGTTTACATTTTGGGATGTGCCCATCAGTTGGAACATGGGCATGGATTTTGTAAACACCACCACAATCAGGGTATAGAATCTTTCCATTCTGTTTCTCCTCTGTAGCCACAACTTCCCTTGTTCCTGAACCCTGACAAGTACTGTGACACATCCTTACTTTGTATAATTGTGCTTATACAGTAAATATCTTGTTCTCTTTTTTTCCCTCTCAGTAACAAATTTTGAGATATGACATGCTACACATTTTGTGAATAAGAAAAGTGAATGCTAGTTTATCT